TAAAGATACAAATTGTGAACAACAAACATGCATCTATCAACAAGTGAATCTAAGAATCAAGTGAATAAATAATCTGATGTACAGAATGAACTGGTGATTATAATGAATCAGGGACATAGAAAGGGAATGGACTGACTATTCTTGGGGGGGAAAGGGGAATGGGAGATGCGGGAAGAAACTGGACAAAAATCGTGCACCTATGGATGAGGACAGTGGGTGGGGAGTGAGGGCGGAGGGTGGGGTGGGAACTGGGAGGAGGGGAGTTATGGGGGGGGAAAAAAAGAGGAACAAATGTAACCTGAACAATAAAGATTTAATTAAAAAAAAACAAACAAACAAAAAAAAAGAAATAATCTAGAATTAACATTAGCGACATATAAAGAGGTTCTACATTTTTAACCCTTTAGTTAGTAGTACCTGTAGCACCACTGATCCAAGTTACTCTGAATTTTGCACCTTTCTCTTCTATCCTACGCCCATCCTCAAACACCTTGAAAATCCTGTTAGACAGCATCATCTCGAGAACACTCCCTCAAAACTGCTGAAAAGAAACATTTAACAGTCCCCTTGCCTATCTTCCTTTCACCATCACTCTCTTGTTACCAATGTCACACACTTTAATTAGAAGCCAATCTCTACCCTGCAATGTCCTGAAATCATTTAGTCACTACAGTGAAAAGAGTACAAGCTTTGGAGTCAAGCAACTTTAATTATGAGTCTTGTGGTTCTTCTTTTACTACTTGGGTGACCTTGAACTAATTATTCCCCCGCTGGTTCTATACCTGTCTCTCCATTTGTTAATAGAAAATAAGAATTCCTAATACACAGATAGCATTTAAAGCCTAATGCCTAGCCAAAGTAGCACTCAATAAATGACAACTGTTATGGACTTTTATGTGCCTAGAGCTGCCCTAGTTGCTGAAGGTAGCACTCTGAGACAAAACAGATATGGTCCTGGCCACCCTGTAGGTCACATGCCACTGCCCAAGGACTCTTTCCACCAGGGATTTTAATTCCTGACCCATCCCTTATTAGGTGTGTGAACTCATATAAAGCTCTCGATCTAAAATCTCAATTTCTTCATTTCTAACATGGTAATACTTGACATAACTGGAATAAAAGTAAAATTAGAACATATGTGAAAGTGCTTTGTAAATCATTATATGCTAAATAAAAAGAAGATACTAAACAAAGAGTAACATATTCTTCTTCTCTAGGGCAAAGTTCTCCTTGCAACCAGTGTGCCAAGAATGGATTACATATGTGCTGAAATATTGACCCACACTCCCCAGCCCCACAGCCTTCATGAAATCAGGGAGGCCTGGCTATAGTCTGCCACACAAATACAATAATTTTCCATGTGTGCCATGATGCAGAAAAGTTTGGAAAACTTGCTCTAAAACACTATCTCATGTTAACAGAAATGAGTTGGCCAACTTACTCCCGCCCCTGGATGATTTAGGATTCACCACTAAACTCTGCTGTTCTTATGATCCTGCTCCAAAGACAGTGTGTCACAGTTTCCCAAAAGATAAAAGAGCATCAGCCTGAACATCAAAAGGCTGCTAGTCAATTGCTATCATAGCCATACAAAAATGAAACAAAATAAAAATTCTTTGGTGAGAATATGGTAAAGATATTGCCATATTTCCAGAAAAGATTTGAGCAATTTCCAGCAACACCTGCCTGTAATCATGCTAAGACAAAGGTCTAGGAGTAATGGAGGAGAGAGGAATAACGTAATTAGATAGATGAAGAAAGAAAAAAGGAATAAAGGAAAGAAAATATATTTTTTTGCCTTATAGAGAATAGCTGAGGATCTGCGAGAGCTATTCAGTGGCTTCTGAGACTGCCTAAAGATAGTAGAGACCAAAGGTAAGATTAGTTTTAGATTCTTTTATTTCATAGTATTTTTTATACACCCTAGAACTAATGCTGGTGCATATCTGATTTTTAGACTATCCCTAAGTCATCATCTTCCATATTATATGAAGCTACTCTTTGCAGTCTGTACATATATTGTTAGTTTTTCATCTACAGCCATATTATCTTAAGTTCTCTGTTGAATTTACTCCTTATCCTGAATTTATTCCTTACTCTATCCCAATTTATCATTCTGGAATATATTTATACCTCCAGACTCTCACAATTCTGAATTTATTTATTACTTAAAAATCTTTATTTTCACATTTTTCAACTCCTCATATGTCATAATACACTCAGAGAGACTTATATCCACCCGAGTGGGAAACGTCTACCAAATAACACTCCAAATTAATTTCTTCTTGTCCTACTTTTTGGTATGACATTCAACGAGGTATTTATCCACTGTAAATTAACAAAGGAAAAGATCTTATTAACATCTGATACAAAATCAGGTGAGACACCTCCAACTTAGGCCAAAAAAAATGTAAAGAAAATATGGTACAAGCAGTCTAGAGCAGTAGCTAAGAGCTCTCAAACTAGAGTTAGACAACCTAAGTTCAATCCTGGCTCCACCTGTGTAATTCTGATTACTTTAGAGTCAGTTAATCATTTGGTTTCATTAGTAATCATTTAGCTTCTTCATCTATAAAATGGGAATTTTAGCTACTTTTTAAGGATGCTGTAAGGATTAGATGAGATAATCATATAAAGCACTTAGCATAATGCCTGGCACATACTAAGTAAATGAGTGTTGATTGTTGTTTTGGTGTTAGATAAAATCTATCTTCTGACTTCGTCATTACATTAGAAGAAAACTAACTTGGCACAATTTACTCTTTATAAATTTATGCTTTCTACTCCTCCCCCAGTGAGGATGTTAGACGGAGGAAAAATTATTTTATTTTGTGAGAAGAAACTGGTTACTCTATATGGACTATGATGAGTTGGACTATGATGAGTTGTATAGGTCTCTTCAAGTTCTAACATTCCATGAGACAAGTGCAAATATTTAGAACTTCAATCCTTGATCAACAAACACTTCACAACTAAATCAGTAAGTTCAAATATGCACTCCAAACTTACAATAGTAATGTTCACAAAAGAGAACATTATTAATACACCTAATATTAAATGGTGGGAAAGGGGATGTTAAGATAAGCAGCAGCATACTGAAACTTACAGATCACACTACTGAAACATCTTATTTGCCCTTCCTAGCTAGCAAAGCCAAAGACCAAAGTAGATGCCTCAAGTGAAAAACAAGAAAATGAAAGCAAACAACTACAATCAGAATTTAATTTTTTTACACTGAACTGTAGTAGGTTGGTGGTATTTAATATGTATTTAAAATCTAATAAACACATTAATTTATAAATCCACAGATCTCCGCAGCATTACTACAAATAGCTATCCCTAAAAAGAAACCTCAAAACCACAAATCAGGAACTAAAGTAAGCAGTCTTACTTCCTTCTCTAGGTGTAGGAAAGAATTTAGAAACAATCACGTTTTGAAGTAGAGAGATTTCAGTATAAAGCTAGAATCTCTGCATTCTACTCTCCCCAAACAAGCTATCTACAATAGAAAAATAAAAGTTCCACAAAAAAAGTTTTAATTAACTTCAACAAGATACTAATTATGTATCTGGAAGTTATATATCACATATATATACATTTCACATACATATATACATACACATGTATACACATATATATACATACATGCATACATATATTTTACACACACATACATAGACACACACACTATCTGGAGGTTTTATACCTCCTTTGAAAATCTGATAAAAAGAACACAGACTCTTCACCCTCCACCACCCAAAATGCACTCAAAACTTTGCACATGATTTCAGAGTTGGGGTTGAGTCACAGACTTCATAAATGAGGGATCCTATGACATAACCCAGGATTAAAAATAATTTGAAAAGAATGAAAGTGAGGCAGAGATTTTTAATCCAGAAAATAAAATTAGAAATACTTTCTATTTTCTCAGATAATGAATGTCAGAAGTGGTAGTTGGAACAGGGTGTTGGTCATGTCAAACAAGGAAAACAAGCAGGACATATGGGGGGAAAGGTGTAATTAAAACAGTACTAACATATAGTGTGTTATAATCACTCTGAGACGGCGGCAATGAAATGGCCAATCCCTGCAGCCTTCACACAGGACTGATGTTAAAAGTAAGCATTGCTGGTGCACATTTCCATGCCATGAAGTTAAATGGTAAACGTGAAAACATCCTTGCAGGTGAAAGCACAAGCTTATGAAAAGCCTTGCAAACCTTCCACTTCTCCTTCTCAAATAAGAACCGAGATAGAGAAAGTATATAGTTTAGGATAAAACTAAGGGAGGGGCACAGAAATCCTAAAAGGGGGTTGGCTAAACGACTTGCAAGAAGTGTAAACTACATGTTTGGAGATCAAAGGGCCCCAAGAGAGAGATAAGGACAAAACAAAGGAAGTAATAATAAAATAAAAGGAAAAAGCATCTACAAACTGGGCTTTAAATAAGAAATCTCTCTCCTCTTCCTAGACACGTAAACAGTAGTCACTTGGCACAGAGGAACGGAGAGGACGACAGCACAACTTCCTTCCCAACTCCAGCATTTCTTGGACCTTCCCACAGAAGCAAGGCTCCTCCCCCTGCACCACAGGCCCAAGGACCTCTCGGGGGGACTCCCGCTCTCCCCGTTCCCCTCGCGGCGGGAGAGGAAGCGGGGGGTGCAGGGAGGTGAGAGAGGTTACGGCTGGACACCAAACCTGGAGACTTCGTCGAGAAAGACCGGGCTCCTGCAGCCCCCTCTCCCACCCGATGCATGCAATGCCAAGAGGGTGCCACCCTGGCAGGGCCAGCCCTCCTCCTACACCCGGCTGCGTTGGGGGACACACTCAGGCACGAAGGAGCAGAAACCAAAGGCCGAATCCTTGGGCAGATATGGCAAAGACTAGGGACAGAAGTGCCCTGGGAAAGTCCGGAGCCCCAAAGGCAACGTATCTGCCACAGCCAACCACTCAGGATGGCCTTCCCCCGCCTCCTTCCAGGTGGCCCGGCCCCGCCCTCACCTGTCGGCCGGGAACCACCTGGCAGCTCTCAAGTCGAGGATTCTTCCTGCCGCTGCTCTCTGGAATCTTCTCAATCTTGGGGAGAAGTGAGCGGAAACGCCACTGGGGCCTTTTCCTTCTTCCCCTCCCCCCACGCACCTCGGCTCCTCGGGGGCGGGGAGCTAATGCAGCTGTCACAGCCTCTCACTGACCAACCGCCGAGGACACAGACCTCCCAATGCTGCCTACGACACCCACAGGGAGAGCAGCGGAGCCGGAAGTGAGGAAACAGGAAGTAGCGCTGTCCTCGGCTCAGACGGCCTCTCTCTCCCTCAATCTCGCCCGACCCAGCCACGTCTCTATGGTGCCGGCACCTCCC